GAGTTAACTCTAATTCATTTCAAGTTAACTGCAATTCCAATGTATTGCAGTTAACTTGAATTCAATTCGAGTTAACTGTAATTGAATTACAGTTAACTGTAATGCATTCGACTTAACTGCAATTCAGAGGTAAATGATAAAACGGCTTGCCATAAGTGCGCTAGATTAATGCAATAAGGTGACTCAAACCCATTGGGCATTAACGGTGTACTCCAAAACCATTGAACAAGGTTGGACTGGAGTAACCCTCATGAGGCAGGAGCTGAACCCCTCCTGATGTACTGGGGCGTGCCATATTGAAGTAACAGTATTTTCTTTATTTACGGAATCATTTAAAAGGTCATGAAAAGCATTGATTCATGTAATCAAAATTAAATCTGACAAAATATAGGCCTATTAAAACAGATACGGTAGTTGATAACAATAACAATGAATGAGACTTATAAAAAGAAAATGAAATGCAAACATAAGAATAATGTATTTTAAGCCGTAATTATTGGACATTGACAAATTTGAACTTATCTTAGTACAATCGGCCTGTTTATTTTTATCCATACCCAACTTTCATTTGAAAAGCCTACGGCAGGCATTTAACTATAAATTATAGTCAAGAGGAGAAGGCTTGGTTTTATTGTCGCTTTCTTTCTGTTTCTATTTTTTTTTTCTTTTTTTATCAATTTACGTCTTTTTCCTTCATTTATCAAGGGAATTTCAGTCTGTTTCTTTGTTAAAGGTTGTGAAAACATCTATGCGTTTACAAAGCCGAATTGGCTTATAATTTTCAGTACAAACATCATCATATTATATACGATTTCTATTTCAGAAGTACTTCACTTCGCAAATTGTAATTTTAATCAAACTAATTTTTAATGAGCCCATCGGTTTTACCTACTTTTGCGTTGCTTGTTTTGAATGTTTTTTTTTTATATTTTACTCACCTATTTAGCCTCTCTGTCAATTGCATTGCTCTCATTCTTGTTTGCACCATAATCAAAGCAAGTGGTTCGCTTTCGTTTACTCTATACTTGCAAAATCTAAGATACAACTCATTAACGATCGCCTCCATTTGTGTTTCTGAAATATCACTCACAAATGCAGAGGAATAAGAACAGATAACATTACTGTCAATTGCCAAGAGTAAGTCTTCTACTTCGTGAGGACATTCCCCGTTACGCAAATGAGATATGTTAGTTAATAGAAACGATAAGTAATTAACTTCATGTTGTTCATCGTATAGTTCGCTTAGAGCATCCAATACTTCTATAAGAGTACCACTACTTAACAAATCATTGTCCTCAATATGTCTGTCGTGTAGGAGACCACCTAATTCTGTATAATGCAGCCGCAATCGTTTAAATGATTTACGTGCTAGAACCTTCAGTTTGTTTAGCAAATAATCTAGTTTAGGATCAAGTTTCATTGCTTTTACTTCCAGCTTGCTCTTTGATCTAAATCCTTCTAACTCCCGCCAATTCTCAACTACACATGCTAACTCAGCATCTCCAAGGTTAGCGAGCAGATGACTTAGAACAGACTCGGTGGCTTCTTTAGTGTTCAATCCAACAGGTGAAGCAGACAACCCAACTACCTTCGGCTTGTGATCAGACTTCTTGTAATAATCTTTCATAATCATGTTGTATGGATGATCCTTGTGGCAGTGGTGTGCCTCATCAAACACTATCAAACAAATATTTTCCCAAAACATGGTTTTCTTCCTCAACAAGTTTCGAAAATACTCTTTAAAAAGATAAAATTTCGATAAAACATACATACAGTAAATTTCTTTTAAAATATATCGGTCATCATCTGTATGAATTTTATATGCTGGAAAAAATTACGTTGTGTCATTTATTATTTAAATTGGCTATGACGTTAACATCATCTGTCTGCGGAATATGACGACTTTTTTTTCGATTGGTGTTATTTTTTTAATTGGTGTTATTATTTTGTTATACAATTTGTGTTTAGCTCTGCAGAAACGTGAATGATCATAACCTACGGCACGGTTTTTAGTTCTGTTCAAACATGGCGGCAAACAGCAATGAGAGGCTATTAACTAGCTGACTTAAAAGGATTTATGATTTTATGTAATGGATGGAGCTGTTTCAAATTATTCGAAAGACATTTTTTTCCAACGTGAAACACTGTCGACTAAACAGCTATATATACTTCAACTTGTGCATTATGATAATCACAAAGTTAATTGTTTAGTATATTTTCAGTGGCGGATCCAGGCGGGGTTCAAGGGGTTCGGACGACCCCTCTGTGAAGAAACGTAACAAAATACAACTGGGTCTTGGCTTACAAAAGACATGCTAACCTACCTAGGCATAGGTTGGAAGATCAGACAAACTAGGCTTAGCCCAACTAGCTTTCAATTATAAATTATACACACTGTTTTTGGTTCGCCGTCTTAATAATATAAGTAAAAGTGCGTTCTTCAGGCCTATCGGTTCATCGATCCATGGAAGAGAGACTACATATCTGACTACTCAATGTTGTTGGAATAATAATAATATATTACCTGTATTCGATTTTTTCCTCTATGATAGGTCTAAAGATTGAGACCAAATTACCTGACCTTTTTTCAAGAGCGGGAAAATTTTGAATAACGTAAAGGTCATTAAAAGACTCCTCAGAAGTCGGGAAAGCTCATTTCCGGCCTTCTAGGAATCAAAATTCCCCCGACCACCCTTGCATTTAGTGTTTTTTTGGAAACATTTTGAACCCCCCTCTTTTAAATTCTGGATCCGCCCCTGATTTTGCTGTTGAAAGTAAAATAAAAACTAACAAGAATGTTTTACCTCCAGTAACGACAACTATATCATATTGACTAATATGTTCGTTTGCTGATATTGTACGTCCACCTCCACATAAACGAGCAATTTTCGGTATTGTGGACAGATACGATACTCCAAGCTCTTTCTCCAAATAATCGCTTTGTTGAATGCACAGCAGAATTTTATCGACAAGAAATACAACCTGCCTTCCAGGGTTCATGACCAACATTGTTCGTGCTATCATTGCTGCCACTAGGGTCTTTCCAGTACCTACAAAAAATATAGTAAACATTCAAAGGTATACTCATACAAAATACGATACCGGTAGTTCACAAAACACTTCTTAGTTTTATCAATAGTTGGTTTTTACAAACGTCTTAATATTTTTGTCATTACAATCATTACTGTCATTATTAATACATCTCAGGCCTACAAAATTAATTAACTAAACATTCCTAAAACGCATATGGCCTCATAACCAAATTTGCTTAAATTATATGAGAGTTACCTGTTTGAAGAAAAATTACTGCATTACGACTTTCCATAGCCTGCATGTAAAGCTCACGTTGATAATTTCTTGACTTGGTAGAAGTTAAAGAATCAACACTGATAGGTTTGTCTTTCGGTGGCTTAAGCTTCATCGGTGGCAGTTTCTTTACTGGCGCTGGAATCCAACCCATGGCTTGTTTTCTGTGACGTTTTCCCGCAAAATGCATCTGTGCGTGAACGATAGATGTAAAGCATAGTATTCTACAAGGGAAACATCCTCGTTGGAGAAAGGCATCACCAGTGTGTAATTTATTTATGCTGCGTTCATTTAACTGTGATGGAGTGTGCCCGGAATGGTAGATGAGCTTGTTTTGTTTCTTATGAGTGTTACCTACATAATGTTGCTCTGCTGATATCTTGCCGCTAAGGTGTACATTACATATGGAACAATACGTCGAATCACAACGTTCTGGCATTTCGTTGTTTGGCTCAGATAGGTTTTCCCGCCATTGCTCTACAAGTTGACAGTGTTTGTTGCTTTCCTCATGGGCTTCAAGAGGTATGCTGCCGGACATGCTCTTATTGCAAGCCATACAGTAATAAACGCCATCTTGCACTTCAATTGGACTTTCCAGAATCTCATCTTCATCCACAAGTGAATCACTATCGTCTGATGAATGATCTGAAGATTCGCTACTTTCTGCATTTTTCTGGTGATATTCACTTGAATTAGCCATACTATATGTTATAGAACAGGTTGACCATTCTCGGAAGAGATGTGGTCTTCCAACCCCATTAAGATTAGATCTCATAGACCTACTATAAAAATATATTTAATAATAATTAATTAGGTATACAATTTATGTTATTGAAATAAAAACTTTAATTATTACATTTGAACTTCTTGCGAGATGATACATGTGAATATGCAAAGAGGATAACGTTGATGACAACGATGATGATTATGGACGACAGATTAAATGCTTTCGGTCAGTACACCAAATATAACCTACGCAATTCTAAAGACTCATATCAAGTGAGGTGCTTCTGGGGGTAATTGGGCTATACACCATGAGGTGGAAAATCTGCTACTCTTTCCAAAGACTGCACTACATTATATTACATGCACAATTTATGCATACGGAACAAAGGTATGCGTTTTTGCACCTGTATTGCAGCCTTCCAACTGGAACACAAGGACAGCAGCATGAATATATATATATATA